CTTTCCCTTCAAAATGAAGTTTAGGTGAAAGATTTGAACAGGCTACCAATGTCTTGAATTCTAAACCCAGTGTATAAGTACATGTTTCTTATCCATGGTGGGACAAATATGTCTTTGATATGCTTGTGCCATCACTTCTGACCACTTCAGTGTCATGATATTTGGCCTTTATTACTGTACATAGATTTTGTTTTGGAACTATTTTCAGATGAGTGACCTACTACTGTTAGCGCAATTTAGTCCTGCAACTTTGCAGTAGATCCAACATATGTTATCTTGAATAAAGCCTGGATTAACTGTTGAGACAGGACTGAAATTCTAAAGTATCTTGATGAATTGGTCTGAAATAATACTCCATGCTACCAGAATAATAAGCATGAAAGGTCCTTTCTGTGTAAATAGCAACAACTACAGAAATACAAGGTGGAGAATGACAGGCTCTGTCGTAGTTCTTCAGAAGATTTGAAGAATTTAGCTGAACATGATCAAGTACCTCCAGATCCTTGCAAAATAGAAAAGTCCAGCCTGGAGTGTGTAGTCAGGAGCCTCAGCACACAAGGTACTTGAAATGATACATTCACTTAGCTGGGTGACAGTCCTGAGCACTCAACCCACTACAGAGCAATTGCAGAAAGCCAGGGGAGAGCAGGAGGAATATTCAGAGGGCTAAAAAAACTTGTGTGAACTGGATTTATATAGAAGAGAAGCCTGAGGGCAGACCAGATAAGAGACTGTGAAGATGTCAAAGGATGTTTCAGAAAGGAAGATTCTCTGCATCCACTGGCAGTTGGATAAGTAGTGATGGATAATTGCAAGAAGGGAGATACAGGTTACATGTTAGGGAAAACCACTTGACAGTAATGATAGCTAAGTTCCAGAGTAATTGCCTACAGGAATTGTCAAGTCTTCATCTTTGGAGGCTTTTAAGAACAGGTTAGATAAACATCTGTCAGGAATGCTTTTGTTCATCTGATCCTTTCCTGGGGCACGGCATGCACTACATAACCTCCCACAGACCCCTTCAGCCCTGTTCTCTGTGATTCAACATCCTGCCACAGGAGTCCAAGTGAGTGATGCCGCTCTTCTGTTTGTTTTACTTCCCTAAGTTGATAGGAAAATCTTTTCATTCCTTTCTTTTTTTGCATAGGTGATTGGGGACTACTACGGAAAGCAGGGGCGTTTTGAAATTCGATCAAATGTGAAATATCCTTGGAATCACGGCAGGCTGCGACTAGATGAAAGCCGAGTTTCAGAGCACACAAACAATACACCATGTAAATCATGTAAGTTTAGTGACTTAATGCTTCTGCCCAGGCTGTCAGAGAGAGGAATCCATGTGGTGATGCAATGTAACGGGTCATATTAAATTGCTTAGCACAGTTGTCCAGCTGAGACATCATGACTATGTGTCTCTGCTGACTGTTTGGGAAGTTAAGGTCTGGCAGCCCTGGGTAGTACGTGATCTGAATCACTTCCCTGAACTTAAACATACAGTAATCATGATGCACAGCCCAGGGCCCTGGAGGCTTTAGGACTTTCCAGGGGTTAAAAGGTAAAATCTCTTTAAGCCAGAAGGAAGGATTTAACTGAAATCCCAAACAGAGAATAATCATATTGATAATTAGCAGCTGGGGAGGCCAGTGCTGATGGGAGCAGTGTTCTCCCCTCCCAGTGCAGAATGATTTTCAGTGCTATGAGATGGCACTGCAAGGGGCCCAGTAGGCTGAGAAGTGAAGTCAGTTGAATGGGGCAACACCTGTGAATGCAGCAGGCTGGGACTACGCCCCACAGAGAAGGTGTCCTCGTTTTCCAGCATACTGACTTTGCAGACCATGTTGTAGTGAGCAGGACATTGCAAGGAGATAAGGGCAGGAAGATGTGGGTGCCTCAGTGGCAAAAGGTGGTCTTAACTTTTCACAGGAAACAAAAGGTATCTGCAGCCTGATAATTCTTCAATCCCTGAAAAACCTGTGTTACAGCACATGCTGTAGATACTGTTTCCAGGCCATACCCTCTATGATCAGCATGGTGTGTAGCTAGGCACTTTCTTTCCACACATCCTGATGTACAGACTAAATCCCCTCAAAGGGTCAAGGGTAAATGAAGAAGAGGGAACAGTTTGATTTCCTTAATGTTTCTCTGTTCCTTTCCACAAACCCAGGTAGGCATGGAAAAGGGAGCAGGCTGCATGCACATGAAAATGCTGTTGTTCTTTAGCTGTCCTGCACTTTGCAGAGTGATGGTCCCTACTTGGGCTCCCCTTCAGCCACTGTGTCCCTGCTCTGCCTCTGTTGAGATTTGGAGCAAGGTAAAGCCCATAGGGCTTTAACTTGCAACAGTATACGTTCAGGAAAAAAAAAATTGAGGAGCTGTTGGATAATCATACAGTCATTTCAATAAACCTGAGTGATAGAGGGTTATGATGCTAAACCAGGTGAAATGAGTTTGTTTCTGTTATAATGGCTCAGGGCATATTCAGTGCTGATTCCTATTATGTGCGTCATTGTAATCCCAGACTGTTGTTGTGATTCAGACCAAGCTGTTTTTTAACAACATTCCTGTGTATCGTATCTCTAGAATTGTGTCTTTCTGACATGATCTTGGGGGCTTTTTTAACCCCAAGGAAAGCAAGGACAAAAAATAAACTGGAACTAAGGAGTGGATTCCCATGGATTTCTGAGCTCTGAAATGCTTTAGTTATTACATGATGTTGGTCACTCATTTCCTAGTTGTGTATGTTTTCCAGTATGTGAATGCAAATAGTTCTCAATATGAACCCTGACTGTTTATTTTTCCCCTTTTCAAGCAGGTGGTCTAGGAGAATCAGCAGTTACAGGAATAGTTGTGGGTGCCTTGTTCGGAGCAGGATTGCTAATGGCTTTTTACTTTTTCAGGTTAGTCCAATTCCTTGAAGTTATAAACTCTTTACTTGTCATCCAAACCTCTCAGCTCCTGGCAGCACATCCTTGATGGGAGGCAGAGAGGCACCATCATCATCTGTGGTAACATTCCCACCAAAGACAGTGAACACACTTTGGTTGTCCTTTTCTGTATATCCAAATAATTTTATTGATTCAGGGCCTCATCCTGTAACCACTTAGATCTCTGAGTAATTCCAGTAAGTTCCAGTCATTCACGGTTGCTTTAGTAAAGTGCCCTGGCCTTGAAAGCCTTCTTTGGTACTCCTTGCCAGCACAATCGTGCAGGCCGTGATCGTGCAATAGATTTGTATCGCTTGCCTGCTACCATGCCTATTTTTTAAGTATTGAGTGGAATTGTACTGGAAGCTAGAAGGAGATTTCTGTTTTGGTATAAGAAAGCATTTGGATTTCAAAGTTGTGCATTTAACTTAGTAAGCTGAGGTCAGTGCAGGGTGATCAGTGTTTTATTCCTTTAAGTCGAATAATTCTTACACTGCTAGTCAGCAAATCTAAAGTCTTGACAGTTGATTCTACACTGACAGAATAAATTAGTTATACATGTTCAGCATCTTATATATACTATAATTTATCCCCTTATGCAATGGAAGAGAAAGGCAGATAGGAGAATAGAATTAACCTCTGCATATAAGAATCAAATAATTCTATCCAATAAAAATACATGTTTATAAAAAAAAGTTAACAAAATGAAACAAGCAAAAACTGCTTCAATTCACCAGCATTCTTCCAGGGTTTCAAAAGATCCCAGAACCAGGATTATTCATCAGGTGCTTACAACTGAAATTCTGCAGGGTGATTTTATTCTTGCATGTGTTTGGTGCTTATATAATATGTTGTTTGGGTTTGAGCCAAGTTGAGTTAGCTGGGACTGATTAAAGACTGTCTTTAAAAGAAAAAAGAAAGTACAAATCTGTCTTGATATTGTATGTCATCAGAGGTTCTTGCATCTTTTATACATTCTCAATCTGAGATGATAATTTTTAGGTGTGTTTTTTAGCATTGCTGGTATTGGGAGGGAGTTAGTATGTGAGGACAAGAAATGAGGCAAAAGACATGCTGAGCTGGTATAAAACTATGCAAAGCATCATTGTAGGAACAGGACTTAGACTCTTAGTCATCTGGCACAAAGATTTGGATTGGAAGTCCATGTGAGCAAAGGTGAGTGTCTGTAAAACCAGGTGTACAGACCTGAGCTCAACACCCAGTCTTTGTATTTATGGTCAGAGGGGAGAAATGAGCACTTTTTCTGGTGTAGGTCATGTCATCCTCATGTAAAAGCTAAACCAGGTCAGAAGAATGCCTCTTAAAAATGCCTGTTTCTCTCCTTCAACTAAAGGAACCGTGGGTACTCTGTCAGGTGGATCTGCATGTTGGAGACATCTGAAAACATATGGGTGAATTTCACCCTGAGCACCTGATTGCACTCACTCAAAGCAGGAACAGGGACAACCCTCTAATTCCACTATTAGAGCAAACGTGATATATAACATGTCAGGATGTATGGGTCAGATTTTCAGAAACTGTGGGTCGGGCAATCGTGTGCCTGGAAGTAATTTGTACCTGCAGCTTCTGTACCTTTAAAACTGTATATGTGCCTTTGGATTACATCTAATTTGGATCTGTTATTACCACAAATCAGCATGCAAAGAGAGTTTTGAGAGTGCATGTAAACCATTAAAAGATCTGGGTAGTAGTTCTGATACTTCCCTTTGAAAGGATTTAAACTCAAAGAGCTACTTTCTAAAATGTGGACCTGTCCTTGTGCATGAGCTCCTACTGTGCATGCTCTGACCTGTGGAAGGACTTGACATGAAAATACATAAAAGAAGTAAATAACATAGGTTTTTTAAGTTATTTTGGAGCCTACTGATACATACATAAATGTCTAGGGAATCTTCAGAACTTGTAAGTTGTTCCCACTTTCTATTGAGCCATGTTACCCAAATTAAAACCTTGGTGTTTTGAAAATCATTCTTCCACGGCTACATATGTAGCTCTGACTCCTGCTACACATGTAAGTGGAGCAGAGTTTCCTTGGCATACAAGCTTTTTGTCATGCATCTGCACAAGCAGTACTGTATGCACATGGGGCTGGACTAACGCCCTTCTGAAAAATTGGTCCTGAAACTGAGTAGAAGCATAAATGCGTAAAATATAAATGTGAATCTTCTTAACAATTTTGGGGGGGAGATTTGGGTACTAAAGGCAAAACTGAAAGGCAGTCAGAGGGCTTGTTTGACGTATAAAGTAACATAACAGAATTCTTCAAAAGGCCCTAGAGGAAGACACACAGGAAAAACTGTGTCTAACACATAAGCAATTGTATTTATTTCTTATCTATCCTCTACATCCCTCTTCTTAATTCATCATACTGCCTCCTCTGACTCTACAAACATAGTAGCTTTCTCAGAGGGAGATGGGAGAATTACTTAGTTAATATATAGTTTTGGTGAGAAACGCCGCTGAATAAAGAGCCAGATCTGTTGTTTGAACTCTGTAAAAGTGCCCCCCCACCCCATATACTGGAAAAAAATTTGGCTTTGATCAATATAAAGCAATGATCTGACACAGTTCACATGACACTTCACAAAAACTTCCTAATCACTTAGATCAGAAATTTTCAAAGAAGCAAACGTCTGTGTCTTGGTGCTTTGAGACTTCTGTGTAGAAATTAGCAGGCATTCTTGAGCCTGGGTAAAATGTTTCAAGGCAAACTACTTTAATCTTTGATGAGGGTTTCACATTATGCCACATTTCATTTTTCAGCTTGCACCCAGCTGTCCCCTACAGGCATTCTTTATAAGGGAAGTCCTGTTATCCTATAGCTGGAGAAGGATTTCTCACTCTGTTCCTCTCCTTTCATGCAGAAAGAAATACAGAATAACTATTGAGAGACGAACTCGACAGGAGGACTGTAACATGGGGAAACATCGGCAGTTACGTGAAGACTCCATTAGATCTCATTTTTCTGCTGCATAAAGAAGAAGAAGAAAAAGAATCCCATTCTTCCTAGGGAAAAAAAAGAATTAGGGAAAAGGACACAACCAAAGACATCAGTGTAAAAACAAGAGGCTCTTGAAGAACTCACTCTTTTAAGCAGTAATTTTGTCTTAATTTCTTTCAGAAGCTCAGGAATGATTTACTAATCACATTATGCCACATGGCCTTTCATCTCATGAAAAAAGAAAATGATGCAGTTTGATGTTATAGGATGTACTTAATATGTAAAGACAGTACTTCTTAAGGCATCTTTCAAGGGCAGCGGATCTGGGTTTAGTTGATGGGGAATGCCTCATTCGGTTCCCTTTTTTTTTTTTTTTTTAGCTCCTACCACCTCCTTCCTTAATTGCATCTCACCCATGGATATCAAATGTGGTTTCACAGGCACACAGGTGCTGGTTGCTGTCAAAAGGAAAAAAAGGATTCATTTGGGGTATGATCCTGCATCACTGAATCGTTGCCATTGATTACAGGGGATACAAGATTGGGCGTATGGAATTTAGTTCTGGGAGGGAACTGGCACTTGGGTGTAATTAGCTCCACTGAGAAAGTCAGGCAGGTGGAAACACACACAAACCGTTCTTTCCTTGTGTGTGTAGTATTACAATCAAAAGCACTGATTCTCCCTCTTAGGTGCTGGGAGTTTGGGAAAAATGCCGGTGAAGAATGAGGAATTTCACTGGTGTGAAATAATGAGAGAGAAGACAGTCAGGCTTCCAGAGAGGACTGGCTAATTCCTCAGTCTTATGTGTGTCTTATCATGCTCTTTTCTCTCCACTGCCATGACTTTTCAGAGAGGCAAATATAGAAAAAATAATAGAAAAATGTAGAGCCTGCTCCTGTTCCCAGTGAAGTCAATGGCAAAATCCCATTAACTTCAGTGAGCACAGGACTTCATCCAAAACTGTAAATATGAAAGTGTTTGTATAGCTGAGGCAATTCAAAAGGGGATCTTTTTTTTGTGTAAAAATGATATTCCATGCTACCATTTTATTTTAGGATATTTTTTATCTTGTATTTTTCTATTAAAGTATCTATTTTTGCTTTGCTAGGTTTAAAAATTAATGGAGAGGATGTTTTGAAGACATATTTTTTATGATAGGAGTAACATGCAGGGAAAGTCAACAGCTGTAAATATGTTTTAGAACCGGTATTAGGGGAGGAGAAGTGACTTTATGGGTAGTAACAGGCTTTTTGCCCCACTTCCTTCTCCAGGCATGTGCAACATTCAAATAGTTATTTAAACAACATAATGCAGTTATTGAATTGTCTTTGTGGTAATGGCGCTGATCCTGAAAATAACGAACTTTTCACATGTTAAATAGTCCTGCCTTAGTTGGTGAGACTAACTATTCATGTGTGTACAATTAAACATGCAAGGAACTACCTTCAGGAATTGGGGTGGTAAAACACTACTCTAGGGCTGACTTTAATCCTGCTGCCATCAGTTCCCTGGGACTTTTGCCATTGATTTTACCAGGAGCAAAACTGAATCTGCGTTGAATTAGCTACTGACAAGTTATTTTATACTAGACAAAGGAGAACTCTGTGCTTTCTAGTCAACAAATGGAAATGAACAGTATCTATTATAAATGTGGTGAAGAAGACCCACAAAAATATTGTCTGGGGGAAAACCCAGCTATGACTATGGTTCTAGTGTGTGAAATCTTTTGGTTTATCCTATTCTGATTTCTAAGCAGAACTTTCTGGTCTCAGTAGTCATAGTCAGACTTGAAAGTTAATCTCAAAACTGGCACTGAAGCCTGTGTTCTACAAAACTTCTAGGCCCTGAGAAGCCAGAGTGCCAGTTCAGAGAAGCCGTTTTGGGGTAGCTGGAAGTGGATGAGGGGCTCTGTCTTCTTTCTGCTGCCTTTTATTTGTTGATGGGGAAATACCACATGGAGTATTTCCTTGGACGTTTTTTTTTTTCTTATGTTTCACTTGTTTCTTAGCATATGCAGGGTGTCATCACCTGCTTTTGTGGAATATTGTCCAATATCCCGGGCAACCAGAGGGCAGGGCTTCCTGACTGTCAGGGCAGCTTCAGTATAGGTGGTGAATGTAGACTAGGTATATTTGGTGTCTTTAAGACTCACTGTAACAGCTGTTGTTCACACAGTATATTTCCATCATCCTGTTTCCCAGTCTTGGCCTGTATGACTTCTGCAAAGGTGCCTTAGCCAAAGTAATACTGCTGTCAATGGACAGTTTTCTGAAGTAGCCTCCTTATCTCATGGGCACCAGCGAAGAATGTAGGCTAGAGCAGCATTCATACTGCTGTGGGGCTGGGGAGAAGCAAAGACTTCCTGATTGGTTTTTGGAATTTTTTTCAAGCAGTTGAGTTTGTCTAGCCCCTGGGCATGCTTAAGGTTTGGGTTTGTTTAAATGATTTCCAAGGGAGTTTTGATCTACTTCTTGTTTTGCAAATATACCTTTTAGTATTTTTACTTTCTTTTATCCATTTGACTACTTTGCCACAGATAAAAGGAAGGAAAAGTTTTAAATATGTGGAGAAAAGAGGGTATGATGTGAAGCATAAACTTTTTTCAAAATAATGTTTGTGATGACTTGCCTTGCAGTATGAACTAGTACTCGAACAGTCACTAGTTAGGGAGGAAGACAGTAGTGCAGATCTGCATTTTTCCTGTGCTACGCACACTCAGGTCAGACCAGAAAATCTGAGCCAGGAGATCTGGCTGGGACGATGAATTGTTAAGACAGCTTTTTTATTGCATAATCTTCCTATAACTAAACAGATGAAGAAAAAAAAAAAAGTATAGCAGTATAGTGAAAGGTCACTTTTTAATTAAAAAGGTAAGAATTCTGATCTCTAGTTTTATGTAGGGTTTTTAATCATCACCTCAGGAAGTGTTTTTATGAGATGTCTGTTGGTGGGATGCTGATGGAAGCCTAGCCAGAACTTTACATCCCAGCACCTCCCAAGAAAGGTGAACCTTTCTTGCACATTAGAACATGTTAGATCAATGGGCTTTAATCTTTCTAAATTTGTGCAGACCTACCTGTGCATTTTTCCCATTGAAGTGTGGAGATCATTTAAGACATTTCACATAAGTAGATTCCTGTATAGCATAAATAAACTTGCTCTTCTTAGCTGCCTTTCACAGGCCTGTTGCTAATAGTTCCCAGGTCTTCTATGGACCATAGATCAAAAACTACTTTGAGTTTAGATTATTCAGCAGAGATATTCTTTACCAGCTAATGCACTTTTCCTTTCTGGTTCATCTGCATTAGCTCAATGCCACAATGTTTACGCTTCAAACTCTGTAAGGGAATGTCTAATCAAAATAATAATAATTGATTCTCAAAAGAGTTTTCAAAACCTGCATTTTTGGCTTCAACAAATTGCCCATATTACAAACATACGTCTGTATTACAGAGCAGCACAAGGAGGGCCTTGACTCCGCTCAGCACTTTAGAACACACTTAAAATATGCTCAACTTCAGCTTCTAAGTGCTTTGCTCACTTGGGACCAAAAGGTATGATCTGGGCCATGGCTGAACCAAAGGGAATCTTGCCATGTGTTTGAATTGGGGCATTGCTAAATCTTACAGTTGTGCCTGTTAAATTGGAATTGAACTAGTGGCTTCATACTTTTTGTTTGTCAAAGTTTGGCAAATTCTGCTAATTTAGCATTTTTTTTAAATTACCAAATATTGGTTACCTTGATAGCTGATTCACCTCAGAATCCTCTTCTTGAGGATTCTATGGACAAATTACCTGACTTCCACGCTCTTATCTTCAGCGCATAGACTTCCACACTGCACATTGACAAAGATGAAGCAAAACTGTCAATAGTACCTGTGATTTAGTATGCTGAGACCCACAACTTCAGAGTCAGATGGCTAGATGCTTTATCTTGGGCCATTGGTAGTTCTGGAAGTTTTGTTTATAGACAGTTTGTGTGTCCTGGGTTGTCTGTGACTGCCACCATCACCAGTTAATTACCAGTTCCTTCTGTGATGTGCTTCACTGAATACCAAACCCAGCTAAGTTCTGAGAACATTTAGTCATTGCTAAAACTTTTGATTGGGAGTGCTGTGCACCTTGCAAGATTGTGGCCGGAATTCAGTTCATTAAAGAGTTATATTAATTCACTTCTCAAAATAAATTTTATTAATCTATTTTCAGTTTGGTTTTAAGAAATGCTTTATTACATTATTGAAAATATTATTGTTTTTTAATGGAGAATTACTAAGGTGTAGCTAATGCTTTGAAAACATTTGTGCTGGACAAAGTAAGAGTGTGCTCCCTGACAGCATGTTTTACTGGGAGGCTCATCTCTGATTCTTTTTTTTTGGCTTGGAGGTGCAATCACACACTCATTAAGCCAACAAAAAAACCCTCTCACTGATTCAGTGGAAGTAAACTCAGACCCTTAATGTAGTGTCTTCAGGCTTTAAACTCAGCATCTTGAAGCAGTTCAGAGTGAATTTCTCAGCTTTGCAGTAGAACAGGCTGCATCAGCCTTAGCTGACCTTGGCTCCAATGCTTTTTTCACCTCATGAATGCCATAATGCTCCTGGAAAGCCAAGAATAGACATCAAAGACAGGAAGCTAATAGTCCTGGTCATAAATTTCTTTGGCAATTCAGTCCACCTTTTCCGGAGCTCAAGACAGTTCCACATCCTTCACTACCCTCCGCTGTGCTTCAGAGTAGCAATATAGCTGTTCTGTTTCTTTAAATAAAGCAGTTGAGGTTATTTTTCCTCATTTTCTCCCAGGGCAGAGTGAACACTCTTGAAGTCCCCATTTTTTTCATGCTCTTTTCTCTAGTTTCGGAAGTACTTTGAAAAGAGACAGACAGCCATTTTCCATCATTTAGTCAGAAATGCTCCCTCTTCGCTGAGAGGTGGCTTTTCCATAATTTCAGCCATTGTTCGTTGCTGCCGTGCTGCTCAGCTGCCAGCACACCTCGTGTTGGCCCATGGCCACATCAGCTGTTACCAGAAGATCTAGA